ATACATGAAAAAGCCAAAGGACCTTTCACATTAGGCTGGGAGACGTACGACATTAACAAATGTCAACCGTAACTGACCTTGGGTAAACCAGAAATTGTAATTTTTGCACGTTTTAATGGAGAAGTACCTAGAAATCATATATTTCTTAAATCGGCATGAATAATTTATCATTTGAGATCAGAAGTGACTTTCTGCAAACCGGAAGTATCAAATGATGTCCCTTATTTCAGGCAGAGTATAAAAAAATCTTATATTTTTAGATTCAGTGTGAATTTAGGTACCATATATGACCAGAAGTGACCTGTTCTTAACCGGATGTAACAAATTATCTCCCTTATAGATAAAAGCATATATTTTTGGAATCAGTATGAAGAAACCTATGATTTGTCGCAAGAAAACACTTTGAGTAAACCGGAAGAGGCTTCTGATCAATGATTTAGAAAGTTAATGGTAGAAAGACCTTCTCTGAATAATTGGTTTTTAATTTGGATATACTTTATTGTATGTTATAAATCAAATATGCGAATTTTAACATGGATTTGACAGTTAATGCTCCTTCAACCTGGTCATAAACTAAGTATATATGATTTTAGCTCGGTTGAAATGAAGTACTGTAATTGGTTTTTTTATGGAACGGAAAAATGCATACTTCTGGAAAAAAAAAACCTAGGACGTGTCAATGAAAATGTCAAAAGATATGTCCTAGAGTACATCTAAAGGCTTGATCAAGTTTGGTTTTAGGACTCTGCTAAAACATGTCTTAAATTGTAAACGAAGCTAGTAAGTAGACCATTTTAATACCATTTTGATGTTAGAACGAAACAAAATACATAAAGAGAGACGTATACAAAACATATTAACAATTGTTATGCTTTTTGGATCTATAATACTGAAGAAATGAATTTGGCGATTTTTTAAGGTAAACGCGTGGCTCAAACTGAAAGGGATATTTTAGTAAGATTAAATAGGTTGGTTTCATGTTTTTTCCTCTTAATTGTAAATGCATTAACTTTCCTCGTGTGTAATTGCAAATACACTTTCTGCGCCATTGAGTGCCTAATTTTGACAATTTTCATAGAAATTGGAAACATAGTTTGAGGTTATTTTACCTAAAAAGAACATTTGTAGATCTACAATTAAGGTACAATTGCTGCAATCGTTAGTCGAATTCTTGTAGAAAGTGTTGCCATTGAACAACGACTTACCATATTCTAATGAACTACAATAGATAGAGAGAAACTTTAATCACTAACAATTATCAGATAGGCAAGATTTACTTGAATGCTTCTTTTAATAATTTTATTGGGGTGTAAAAGCGTTTACCGAAGCACATTTTGTATGAATTGCGGAAGCGCTTTATTCTAAAAATGTAAGCACAATCAACGCTTTTACAACCCTATAAAATTATAAAGAAGCATTCAATTCTTACTATATTTTTATGCTACAACCATGAAACTATAAGAGCACGTGCAGTCATACATTTTTTTGCAGCTGTAATATTTTATACAGAAATAAAATTTGACATTGGAGTACCTCACGATTGTTGTCAGCCAATGAAATTTGCAAATTCTGATGAAACATAAATCTAATGTAATTAATTATGAATAAGTGAAATGACATTGTTCGTTGACTACTATGTGAGTCATAACAGAAACATCAAAATAAATCCATTAATGTTGGATGTACAAAACACCGAGACACGCCGCACACCAATGCAAATTCACATTCAGTATAACAGTCATATTCGGGAATATGACAATGATGGTATTGAAAGGCAATTTTATAATTATTTGGACAACAAACGATACGACACAACACATTATTCAACCGAAACCATAACAAAAACATCAAAAATAAATACATGAATGTTGGATGTACAAAATACCGAGACACGTCGTATAGCAATGTAAATTCACAAATTCACTCTCGCTATAACAGTCATATTCGGGAATAGGTCAGGTTCGGTACTTAGCAGACAGACGACATAGATGTTAAACCACAATCTAAGACGACGTCGTGGTAAAAATGTCATTATTTAGTTTAGACACAGACACATCCTATACATCAACCAATTCGTGATGGTGTCCATAAAATTTACGGAGTATCATTTTCAATCTTTCCTCCTCATAACTCTGTTGGAGCAGATTTCAGTAATAGTTATACACCGAGGGATAGGTGTGTCTGGATAAAAAACCCCGTCGGCCGGAGGCCGGAGGGGTTTCTTATCCAGACACGCCGTATCCCGAGGTGTATAACTAACTTACACCCCATTCTAAACCCTATATTTGTTAACATTGATTATTAAATGAAAAAAAAAAAACAAAAAAAAAACTATAGCATATTTATTGACAATATCAAACCATGATTTATAAGAATATTTGTTTTATTACATGAAACCCCACTAGTAACCTTTCTTTGGTTATCTTCGTTCAAACTTTGACAAGTGAGTATATTTTACAAATGTCAAAGTTGCTGTTTTGCATATTCCCGTTAAATCCATGTGCTAATATGGATCAGCAGGTCAAGGTCGACTGTTTTGTGTATTCTTATTACAAACAAAAAATACATCATGCACCTGATATACAGTTGTCAATATGGACGGGTATAAGACGGACGACATTTTGTGGCAAGCGTTGGATTGGTGGAAGAGACTTAAGATAAAGGCAATATTATAACCCAAAGTACTTACCTGAATCAGTTTAATAAAGGTAATCATAACTGTATTTTATATCTTACGATTTTATCAAAAACAAAAGTCCCCCCCTTCTCGAGAATAAACAAACATTCATATTCGAACATACTAAGGGATAGGTGTGTCTGCATTAGAAACCCGAATACCAGACACGCTCAACATACAATATTTAATATTGAGGAACTCCCTTTTTTGGGGGGGCAATCAGGGGCTGATCCAGCCGGGGGTTCCCAACTCAAGAGAAAAAGGGGGGAGGGGGGTCCAACCCGCGGAACGCCCAACCCCAGATCGGCCACTGGGTAACCGGGGGGGGGGGGGGGGGGGGGGTCCGGGAATAAGAATCCCCATTTTTTTTAAAGATCAATGCTTTAGAATAGAGACATATGACTGGGATAAAAAAAAATACCTTCAAGCAAAAGAGTATTTAAAGGATTATTTTTGTATTCCATATAGATGCTTATTGGAATTTCCTAAAATGTGTTTTTTTTCTTAATATCATGAAACAATTTGTAGTGAACACTATTAGTAATTTCTTATGTTCATGCTATTTAAAAAATAATCAATTTCTTTTGTTACGAATAACAATGGACTTTGTTTGCGGGATGTAGAAGCAGGGGTTTCCAGAAACCCCGCTCGTCACACCCTGTGGTCAAAATCCATTGTTATTCGTAATAATAGATCTATTCAATTTACACTTGTTTCAGAAATAGAAACTAAGAAGTATAACAATAGAACTGGGGTGTAAGCGTAAGGAGCACACTCCTGTATATGAAGTCAGTATAGTGTGAACATGCACGAGCATAACGTATTTATTGAAATATGTACACACCATACGACGGAGCAGAGGGTATGTTTGGAAATTGATAATTGGGAAGTTGAAATCATCCCGTTTGTCATAGATTTTAGTGTGAAGTCGTCCATCTGTGTAAATATTAAGGAAAAGATAAAGGTATGAAGCAGTCCTTCTTGTATAAGTAGTATCCTTAATTTCCATTTCACTGGGATATATGAGATGCAAGAACTGACTGAAATATGGGTTATTAAGTGATAGGACATCATCAATATATCTGAAAGTAAAATTAAAAAACTTTGCAAGGTGCTTTTTCTTTTTGTCTTTTAGAAGGTTTTGAATGGATTCTGCTTCATACGAGTACAAAAACAAGTCGGCCAAAAGGGGTGCACAATTAGTACCCATTGGAATACCGACTGTCTGTCGAAATATTAATCCTCCAAACTCAACAAATATAATAGAAAGCGAGAGCAATTGTAAACAGAAAGAATTAAGTTAACTTTAAGATTTACTTTGTGGTAACGAAATAACTGACTGAATGATTTAGCAGAAATACATAGAATCGGTTAATTGAAATCCAAACGTCACTACAAACACGGGCATAGCGAACGAGTTGGGAAATATACATTTTGACAGTACATTGAGAGGATTATTAATTCTTAAACGAAAAACTATCATCAAGATAAAGGTACGTTGAATTTTCAATAAAATGGAATTTAACGTCGATTTACTCTTTAATATTCTTTACGAGTAACAAAGGTGATACTGTATATGGAACGAAACTTATAATTTTGTCCTCCAGACTTACTTTTCGTTAACCCAAGACTTATCATTGGCGATCATTTTTGCTATTTTCAAGTTTCTCTCTACCTATTATAGTTTTCAAGATAAAGGGCAAAAATGAATATAAATGGAAAAATTCGTCATTTAAGGGCAATATTTCTTATAAGAAGTCTAACTGTTTTGGTGTAGATAAACAATAAGTTGATCTCAACATTCAAAATATTCATTGCGGTTTTCAAGATAATAGACAAAACTTGCATTTTACACCTTTGTTCCATGTTATGCCATTCCGGCCATGTTGGTTGGCAGGTGGGGTCATCAGACATATTTATTTAAAATAGATACCTCAATAATGACTGCGACCGAGTTTAATTAAATTTGGTCCAGTAGTTTCGGAGCAGATCGGACGACAACGACGAACGACTACGAGATGACGACGGAAGACGGACGCCAAGTAATAGGCAAAGCTCACTTGGTCCTTTGTACATGTACAAATGACATAAAGGAATATATTTAAATGAGTGAAGAGAAAGAATTGAATATTCAACTACATGAAAAAACAGTTTCTAATTTGCCGTCTCAAATTGGCAATAGGCCTAAGATAGAGTGAAAAGTAATGTAGTAATTCTGAGAAAAGTTTATTGGAGCAATTTAAATTTCCTTTTTGCAAAACATTGAATTCGCGTCTCTTCCTTGACAAATCATCAAAACATCTATATAACAAAAGTATATTACCTTTAATTTTGATGAGAATAACAACTACCGCAACTGCAGCTATACAAACGGAAGCTATAAACACGGTCTTTGCTATGCTACTCGATATCTCTCTTAAAAAAATATTGGTGTTATTATAATTATATTATATGAATTCAATATTTCATAAAAGTCTCACCACTTGTAGAACATAAAACATTCGAATGCATTTATAAAACATAGCGTATATTAAAACTAACACTAAATATCAGAAGCTTAAATACTAAAACATATACAAGTTCCAGTTTATTAAGAAATATGAGAGACTATTAAATGAATCATTACGTATAAGTACAATATTCTACATCATTTTAAAGCTAAATAGTTATATTTAAGATTTGAATTACAATGTACATCATCATTTATATATAAAATACTACAACAGGTTTTATCAACTACCTGACAAAGTTCTTCATTTCCAAATAAAAATACAAACTTTAAATATAAATGTAGGATTCTGAACCCCGATGGTACTCCGAACCACGATGGTCACGCTGAAGTGCGATGGTTGGACGCTGAAGTGTGTTTTTGATCTCGCTGAAGCGAGATGGTGGTAAGGTGACGCTATCTTGTTAATAGCTACACTGAAGTGCGGTGCGATGATATACATAAACTATATTTTCAAAACTTTTCATTGGGGTGGGGGGTGACTGTGTGTGTTTTTTTTTGGGTGATGGTATATAAGGAAAAGTTTTCGATATTGTTTAAAAATGACGAAATCATTAAACAAGAGAATCGCTCACCTCTATTTCAGAGGAGAAGATTTTTAAATGTTAGCAAACTTGATGAACAAATTGTGTAAAATTGTCTTTAAAGGGGGGCAATAACTCCTTAAGGGGTCAATTGACAAATTTGGTCATTCAGCTTTTCTGTAGATCTTACTTTGCTGAACATTATTGTTGTTTACAGTTTATATCTATCTATAATAATATTCAAGATAATAACAAAAAACTGCAAAATTTCCTCAAAACTACCAATTTAGTGGCAGCAACCCAACAATGGGTTGTTCGATTTGTCTGAAAATTTCAGGGCTGATAGATCTTGACCAATTGAACAGTTTAACACTGTCAGATTTACTCTAAAAGCATTAGTTTTTGAGATATAAGCCAAAAACTGCATTTGACCCCTATGTTCTATTTTTAGCCATGGCGGCCATGTTTGTCGATGGATTAAAACTTCGGATACAATTTATAAACTAGATATCCTAAGGAACATTTAGATGAAGTTTGAAGGTATTTAGTCAAGTAGTTTCAGAGGAGAAGATTTTTAAATGTTAGCAAACTTGATGAACAAATTGTGTAAAATTGTCTTTAAAGGGCAATAACTCCTTAAGGGGTCAATTGACAATTTTGGTCATATAAAACTTTTTTGTAGATCTTACTTTGCTGAACATTATTGCTGTTTACAGTTTATATCTATCTATAATAATATTCAAGATAATAACAAAAAACTGCAAAATTTCCTTAAAACTACCAATTTAGTGGCAGCAACCCAACAATGAGCTGTTCGATTCGTCTGAAAATTTCAGGGCTGATAGATCTTGACCAATTGAACAATTTTATACCATGTCAGATTGCTCTAAAAGCTTTAGTTTTTGAGATATAAGCAAAAAAATGCATTTGACCCCTATGTTCACATTTTAGCCATGGCGGCCATGTTTGTTGATGGATCAAAACTTCGGATACAATTTATAAACTAGATACCCTAAGAAACATTTAATTGAAGTTTGAAGGTATTTGGCCCAGTAGTTTCAGAGGAGAAGATTTTTGAAATAGTTTACGACGACAGACGACGACGGACGACGACGGACGCCAAGTGATGGCATAAGCTCACATGAGGCCCTTCGGGCCTCGGTGAGCTAAAAAATGACATTTATTGAATGTAATGTAAAAAAAGGGGACTACCGGCAAGACAACGTTAATTCATAGTGTGACATGATGCTGGCACACATAAATGTATTTTATTTGTGCATGGTTATGTTCTGGACCATATGAGTACTAGGACCATATGAGCATATACTCGTTTGGTTATTAACGGGCCGAATATGTGAGGATTTAGACCAAATAGATATTTTTTCAAATAAATTCCAATTTTCTTCTCAGGAACACACTACTCGTTCTCCGAGCAAAAATTGGCACAAGTTTACTGACTGAAATCCTTTATCTTTTACATATTGTCTGAATTTTGGTTCATCTGTCGTTACTAGGTGAAACCACAAGTATTTGGGGGATTGGCTTTTTTTTTTGCGTTTACCCCCGGTGTTAAGATAAGTTCGAAAGAAAAATAGTCTTCTAACGTTTATTTATTTTTGCACATAAAAAAAAGGGACAGCGTATAGTTACTGCGGTTAAATAAATGTAAGATCGTATGAATATTAACAATAGCATATTTTAAAATAACTAAAACTTATTTGACTTAATATTATATAATAATATTGAACTTACCAAAAATAAATTTTCGCAAAATCAAAGGGGAATAAATGGGGAATGTATCCATGGGACACAGATGATGCCCCCGCTTGCATATCATATAAAGTTATAAAGGTACATACCTGAAGAACAGTAAAAGTGACACTACCCAAATTTGTACTTGATCTGAGTTTTGTGGTAATAAGTATTGTGTATAAGTTTCATAACATTTGGTTGAGGCAAACTTAAGTTTGAGAACGGAAACGAAAAAGTTTGTAAAGGGGCATAACTCTAGAACAGTAAAAGTGACACCACCAAAATTCAAACTTGATCTGTGTTTTGTGGTAATAAGCTTTGTGTATAAATTTCATAACGTTTGGTTGAGTGAGGTTTACTTAAGTTAGAGAACAGAAATGAAAAAATCAGCAATTTTTCCATTTATAAACGGGCATAACTCTAGAACTGTTAAAGTGACACCACCAAAATTCAAACTTGATCTGTGTTTTGTGGTAAAAAGCATTGTGTATAAGTTTCATAACATTTGGTTGAGGCAAACTAAAGTAAGATAACGAAAACGAAAAATTCAGCAATTTTTCCATTTGTAAAGGGGCATAACTCAAGAACGGTTAAAGTGACGCCACCAAAATTCAAACTTGATCTGTGTTGTGTGGTAATAAGCATTAATATTGTGTATTCGTTTCATAACATTTGATTGAGGCAAACTAAAGTTAGAGAACGGAAACCAACTTTGGGGCGTACGTACGTCCGGACGGACAAGGGTAAAACTTAATGCCCCCTCCGCTACGGCGGGGACATTAACAAAGGAGTATTCAAATGAATGCTCCAAGTACCTGTTATTAAAACAATTGACTTTTTGTTTAACTGTTTATTTAGATTTTTAAAATTTATTTTCAAAAGCCGACATATTATGATGTGTAAGTAAAAAGTCGATAATGAAATTTGCAAAATGCTTGTAATATAATTTTAAGTAGGCTTAACTAGTGACTAAAATTTATTTTGTCTTGTAGTCATATAAAAATGATTACCATATGATTGAATAAGTCAAAATTTAATTTTTAAAAACGCCTAATTTCATACCTTATGCAATTTACAGTAAAATGATCTTTTCAACGATCATCATTATTTACCCGGACCATACGCATATGGTCATGACCATACAGCACCGCCTCGGTGGTCTCGTTGGAGCATGTTCGCCTCGAGTGCGGGAGGTCGCGGGTTGGAACCCTGGTCTGGTCAAACAAAAGACTTTAAAACTTAAAAACTGCTTTTCCACTAGGCACGCGGCAATAAGGAGTAAAAGCAAAGACTGGTCGACTCGGAGTCAGAAAAATATTTCCGGGTAAGGTGACATGTCTTCCTGTGGACTGTTACCTCGTGAAATAGCACGTTAAAAATTCAGCTCAGCGCGTCAGTAAAGTACAAAGCAGGGTTAATATTCATATTACATTAACATGTTCTCGTCCTGAATATGCAAATTAATTTGCTGCTGGGCGTTAAGCAGCCATCCATCCATCATCATTATCATGACCATACGAGTATGGTCCAAATACTCCAAACAGTAAAATTAGGAACAAGATTGGTCTGTTTTTGATATTTTTAAGAATGACGAAACTATTAAAAAAAAAACTGTCAAATATACATAAGGACTGCGACATGTATTGAACCCAATTCAACAAAATAAATGTCTTAATTGTTTGCACTGTAATTATACGTACTATGAGCTCGTAAAAGGTTTATAAAATATCTAGCTGTGGATCCCTATCCAGGATGTAAAAAAGGGGACCTACCGACAAGACAACGTACATTTTTAGTGGGACATGTTGCATTAACCATAAACGTATCTCTATAAGGGGGTCCTACAACCTCCTAAATAAGGTACGATTAGATTCAGCATATCAAAGAATCCAATATATTCATTATTTTGTTGAAATGAACAATAATTTTTTGAGGCCCTTTATAGCTTGCTGTTCGGTGTGAGCCAATGCTCCGTGTTGAAGGCCGTACCTTGACCTATAATGGTTTACTTTTATAAATTGTAACTTGGATGGAGAGTTGTCTCATTGGCACTCATACCACATCTTCCTATATCTATAAAGTTTAATTTTGGACCTTTGACCTTAATGTGGACCAATTTAAAAACCAGGCCCAACATAAAAAATCCAAATACACGGTTAGATTCGGCATATCATATAACCCCAGTCATTCAATTTTTGATGAAATCAAACAAAGTTTAATTTTGGATCCTTAAGACATCAATGTGGACCACTTTAAAAAACGGAGCCCAAAATTCAAAATCTAAATACACGGTTAGATTTGGCATATTATAGAACCCAAGTAATTCAATTTTTGATGAAATCAAACAAAGTTTAATTTTGGACCATTTGGACCTCAATGTTGCCCGATTGAAAAACGGGGCCCAAAATCCAAAATTTAAATACACGGTTAGAATCAGCATATTAAAGAACCAAAAGAAATCAAGTCTTTGAATTAAGCCCCATTGAAATTGTTCAAGAAATAAGCAACTTATACAAAGTATTAGTATAGGTATTGCCCCGTGTTGGTCTCTAATTCTTAACGGTTAGGGCC